TGGCTGCCACTTGTTGAATTATGGTACAATACTATCTTCCACTCTTCCATTGGTGTGTCTCCCTTTGAATCTGTTTATGGGGTGCCTCCTCCTACTCATCTGCCTTACATTGTTGGTGATTCATCTAATGAAATGGTTGATAGAACTTGCAATTTATGGGAGCTTACTATTCAGCTTCTGAAACAACACCTGTTGAAGGCTCAACATAGGATGATTCAACAAGCTAATAAGCACCGGTTTGAGTGAAAATTTGTTGAAGGAGACATGGTTTTTCTCAAACTACACCCTTTTAGGAAGAATCTCTTGAACAACTCTTCCTTGCATAAGCTAGCTGCTCGTTACTTTGGACCATTCAAGGTGTTACGGCGTCTTGGGGAAGTTGCATATGAACTGGACCTTCCTCCTCACACTAAGGTCCACCCAGTTTTTCATATTTCCATGTTAGAAAAGTATGTTAGCACGGCTAACCCCACTACCCCCACCTTACCCCCGGTGGATGATCATGGTCAATTAATGCTGGAACCAGAGGAATTACTGGGTAGAAAAATCATTAAGTGCCATAATCTACCGGTGACTCAAGTGTTTGTTCGCTGGAAATTTTCTCAACCTGAAGACACTACTTGGGAAGATCTTTCAGCCATAAAACAGCAGTTCCCTCACTTTAAGACAGATGCTCCAGCTTCTACCACTAACCTTGTAGACGAGGATGTTTTTTGGGGGGGGAGTATTGTTACACGTTATGCTATTTTATAGTTATTTGATGGCTTTATTGTATTTATGCTGATAGGTTATTATTGTCTTTTCATAAATTTTTGCATTACAGATTAGTTATTGACAGTATAGGACCTTACCTTTTGGGACACGTGTCTAGGTTCGGGGTATATCTTGTATCCTACGTCCTTGGCACATTTTTGTGAATGAAATCAGGCTCTTCTCTCCCTTCTTCTCTCTTCCCTTAACATGGATGAACTTTTCACAACAGCAAGGGCATGTGACAGTAAGCTTCAGTGGGCTTTTTTCTTTTTTTTTGGGTTTGCACACATGGGTGCATGGGTTAAAGACAGCTATCCTCCATATCAAGTGGGTGTAGTTTTAGTGGATGCCAACTATCACTAATACTCAATTCATGGGTTTAAGTTTCAAGAAGGAAAAAGGAACTCCTTGTTTTTCTTTTGTTTTGTTTTGAAGGTCATGTGGCTAGGTCCTATAAAGGTTGAAAAATCAAAACCTCATCTGTCATGTAGGTGGAAATTTCAAATGCAGAAGCTGTACCTTTTATCTTTACTGAACCAGAACCAGCTTCTGAATTGGGGTAATTGTGTGGGTCCAATGTTACTCAAAGACATTACAATCAACCCATTGAAAAATCTGTCTTGTTGGACTTTTCTTTGTCTTCAACTCCTCCCTACCCACTTGTTTGTTCTTCTATGGTACAAAGGAGAATTACTAAAAATGCTTTTGGACTCTAGTATGTTTATTTAGCATCAACAGTGACCAATGATAGTGCACAGCAATAGTGAACAGTGACAGAGAACAGTGAACATTGGCTTCTAAGAGTTTCATGCTCTCTTTTCAATATTTCAGCAAAGGTTCCCTCAAATGGCTTTGCATGACCCTTGAGGGCAAGGGTCTCTTGGGAGGGGGGTATTGTTATATAATTGTAATTGTGACTTAGTTAGTTATTGATTATGTTAGAACTAGCCATTAGAGTTAGTTATAGGAAGGTACCCATTTGGATCTCATTAAAGAGCTTATAAATACTTACGATCTCATTGTAACTCCTATGCTAAGTCATCAATACAATTTGCATATTATTCATTGAATCCTCTTTTCTCTCCATTTCTCTTTCAATCTCTCAATCTCTCCTATTCTTCTCTCTTCTCTGTTCTTCCCTCCAATCTCTCATATTCTTTTCTATTTTCTTTTTCATACATAATTACAATTCTGTATCATAGTGGAACCTCTTCCCTAGTTTTTAGGGGGAGTTATTCATTTGAATAAGCATTTGCAGTTAGTTATGAGTCAGTTACCCACTAAGTCCTAAATTTAAGTAAGTGAGTAGTTTTTTCAGAGTCTTTTAGTTATTGTTCAGTCTATTTAATTGGTCTGCTTGTTCCTAGAAGGCAATTTCAGAATTAATCAAAGTATTATTTCAGTCTCTAGAGAATCTCCTTGACTTGGCTACTAGTTTTCTTTGAGTGAGATACTTGCTTAGAGAGAGTTAGTGGATTGTTTACCTCTATTTCCCCTTGACTAGACCACGGTTTTTGATGTGTTATTTCCAATATGTGCTTTTGGTTTGCCATGGTTAATTATATCTTAGAGATTTGTTTTGAATGCAACCTGTTGGGCATTTTCTCTCCAGCTCAGTAGCTCACTTTGCTCCCACTATGTCATTTGATTAATGTACGCCGATGGAACTGTTATTGAATGTGAAATGCAAAATGTTTTGTCCTATGTTTTCATGTGTTGTTTAGTCATTTGTGGAAGAAACACCAAATTTCTCATTTCGTTTTAGCTCATAGTGAAAGGGTTAATGGTGAATATTAATTGCTTAGTTAATATGTATGGAACTAAGATAGAAGAGGGCCTAACCTGAGGAGTCTAGATATCCTATATTGTATATATTGGATGGATACCCTTTCTTATTTTACATTTCAGCTTGTATTTCTTTTCTAATTTGCTGTAGAGTGAATGTCAACAACTAATTTGTGAGATTCTGCGGGCTACTCCTGAAGCTGCATCAGCGGATGCTGCTGTGCAAACTGCTAGGCTTGCAAGCAAAGTCCCTTCCAAAGAGAAGAGGCAAGTGCTCGTAACTTATATTGCTCTTTTCAATCGAAGATTTAATATTACTCTCTTCTGTCAAGCTTAGGGTTTTTGAAATACTGTATTGGGTCCTTTGGCAATGCAATAACTAAAACACATGGAATCTAGAAATTCACAGAAGAGGCTACTGAGGCAAATTCTTTTCTCATAAATCGTCTTTCCAAGAGTATATATGTTAAAAGGATTCTCTTTATAGATGATTAACTTAATGCGTAAATCCTTAAAGTCAAGGAATCATGATCAGTATGGCTATTTACAATTTAGTCACATAAGTAAATTCAAATTGTCATGATTTCAGCACTCCCTCCAAGTAGAGTTTTAAATAAAAGTAATCGTAAGCTTGTTTATTATCCTTTGGAATCTGAGCTTGGCCAACCTTTAGTTGATAGATTGCTCTCCTGTAGGTATATACGAGATGCAAGTCAACCCAATTTCCAGTTTTTCCTTAAATGTTTATCAATCTTCACATGTTTAGTTCTATCATTCTGAACTGGGTTATGATCTGTATAGATAGTTGATTGATTCTCACTATATAGTTTCCTTAGGGTCTCCATGTAGTTTTCAAACCTTCTAGAGTAATCTTAAGCCTCAACAACTCGCAAATGCCTAGTGCTGTTGCCTAAAGCTTACTTTTGCACTATATCATATCAGAATTGATTCTTTCTTACTTCTACATTCATTTCAAGCAAACCATCATTGTAAAGAACTCTTTCGGCTCCAATAGTAATTTGTCAAAATTGAGGAACTTATGGTCATTCAGTGCAATCTACAACTAGCGAAGATGTAAAGTCAAATGTATTGATATTTAATAATTAATGTTTATCACATTTGCTTATCTTATCGTTTTCAATTGATTACAGAGATGGATCAGATGATGGCCTTACCTTTGCATTCCGCTTCACTGATGCTACTGTATCTGTTCCTAATCAGGGTATGCCGTATTTAATTGAGGAACATAACTAATGTTACTTATTGACCTGTTATTATGAAAGAAGGGGGAATTACTTTAATGTCCCACTCAATGTGTTGTCTTTCTTCTAAGCTCAATTGTTAATGGACCTAGGAGTAATTAATTGTCTTGAGTGGGACTTTTATGTAATTCCCATGAAAGAATTATTGGTGAGTTTAGTTAAATTTAGCTGCTTCTCATCTTTTATGGGATAGAACAATTTATTTGGTATCTTGTGGTTGACCTATATTTAATGTAAATATTATTTATTAATAAAGGGGATACTGTGAGGAGTAAAAATAGGGATTTTGTAGATATCCTATTCCCGAATATCCTCTCCTGATTCCATCTCCTGATTTCTTGGAGATTTGATCATCTTCTCACATGTATAAATCAGTGTACATACTCTGGGATTCAATAATAAGAGTTTTTCGGTCTATTTGCTACATGGTATCAGAGCAACTAGCAGATATCGACGCCGAAAACTCTGAGACAGAAAGCACCGAAGACGAGACACAAGAGTTGCACCCGATTCACACTTCTCCAATGTCGAAGAGTGATGGGTCCTCGCAAATCGATCCAGATAAGGCCGGTAGTCCCCTCGGGTCGATCACTGGTCATGACGGATCATCGGTGCTCGTGGTTACCATGAAACTCAATGGCTCGAATTATCGGGTATGGGCACAGGCTATGCGACTTGCAATTGGAGGCCGAGGGAAGATGGGTTACCTCGATGGCTCATCAAAAATTCCAGAAGAGTCCAGAACGCAGGAGCTACAGCGATGGCATACCGAAAATTCGTTGGTATCATCGTGGCTGATCAATGCCATGATTCCGGAAATTCAACAGAGCTTCATATTTCTTCCATCAGCTCATGAAATCTGGAAAGCTGTGCGAGATTCATACTCTGATGGGAAGGATTTGGCGCGAATATATGAGCTTAAAACAAAAGCATGGTCACTGCAGCAGGGAGAACGTGATGTCACGGCTTTCTGGCTGGAGCTGAATACCATCTGGCAGGAATTAGACTTGATGACAGAAGTGGAATGGTCTAGCAGTAATGATGCAATCCGTTATAAGGAGCAAGTCGAGAATGAACGGGTGTTTCAGTTTCTTGCAGGACTGAATCAATCTCTAGATGATGTACGGGGGCGCGTTCTGAGCCGTATGCCACTTCCATCCACTAGAGAAGTATTCTCAGAGGTACGTCAGAGGCTTCAAGACGCAAGGTAATGACTCCTGGAGCTATTTCTGCACCAACTTCTTCCTTGGACACTGCTGCACTTGTGAGCAAGGGCAGTGATTCAAATCATAAGAACCAAAAGGGGAAGGTCACTTGTGAACATTGCAAGAAGATTGGGCATACCCGTGACACTTGTTGGGATATACATGGAAAGCCAGCCGATTGGAAGCCGAAAAAGGGCAAGCAACGAAGTTATCAAACTTCTCATGATGTACCGCCAGATAAACCAGACTCAATACCTGAAATTGATAAGGAGCAACTAGGTAAGCTACTTGAGATGCTTAGTGTGTTGCAGAAGAATGAGAAAAACCAGAAACTGAATCCTACTGCATCTGTGGCTCACAAAGGTAAATGTGCCTTACTTACTTCTAATAGTAACCCCAAATGGATTGTTGATACTGGGGCAACTGATCATATGACCTCAGATGTTAAACTATTCAATACCTATATTCCTAGCGCTGGGAATGAAACAGTAAGTACAGCTAATGGATCTTCCTCGTCAATAGCAGGAACAGGAAGTGTGGTTATTTCTAAAGTCATGAGACTGAATCATGTTTTACATGTACCTTACTTGGCTTGTAACTTATTGTCTATAAGTAAGTTGACTAAAGAGGCAAATTGCTGGGCTCATTTCTGTTCTACTCATTGTATTTTTCAGGACCTCTTATCGGGGAAGATGATTGGCAGTGCTAAGGAGCATAACGGTCTCTACTATCTCGATGAATCAACCGTGAGTAGTCTTTGGTCTCGAATCCAGTGTCACATTGCAAATAAAGACTTTAATGATCTTATGTTATGGCATAGGAGAATGGGTCATCCAAATTTTCAATACTTATGTCGTTTGTTTCCTGAATTTCAAGTTAATAAAATTTCTTCATTTCACTGTGCTGAGTGTGAACTTGCTAAACATCACAGATCTGTGTTCAAACCTGTTGAATATAAATCTACCCGTCCTTTTTCCATTATTCATAGTGACTTATGGGGTCCTACTCGTATTGCTAATCGTACAAATACTAAATGGTTCATTACATTTATTGATGACCATACTAGAATGTGTTGGGTCTACCTATTACAAGATAAATCTGCTGTGCCCTCTGTCTTTTCTCAATTTTATACAATGGTAAAAAACCAGTTTGACACCACAATCCAAGTCCTCCATACTGACAATGGCACTGAATACTTTAATAAAACCATGGATATGTTCCTCACAGAACATGGAATTGTCCATAAAAGTACCTGTCCTAACACTCCCCAACAAAATGGTATTGCGGAACGGAAAAACAAACACCTCTTAGAAGTTGCACGTGCCTTGCTCTTCACTTATAACGTTCCCAAATATTTCTGGGGAGATGCAATTCTTACCGCTACATATTTAATCAACCGCATGCCAAGTCGTGTCCTCTCATTTACCACACCTCTTGAGAAATTAAAAGAATCTCACTCCATTACTCATCTTGACACCAACCTACCACTTAAAATTTTTGGTTGTTCCACTTATGTTCACTCCCATCACTCCCAAAAGCTGGACCCTAAGGCCATCAAATGTATCTTTCTTGGTTATTCCTCTACACAAAAAGGGTATAAATGCTTTGATCCTCATACCAAGAAACTTTACATAAGCCGAGACGTTAGCTTTGTTGAGCATGAGTCCTTTTACCCAAACACTTCAAGTCAGGGGGAGAGGGGGAGTGACTTTCAGTTTTTGGAAAGTGAAAGTGAGAGGCAAAGGGGTAAAGAAATCACCACCATTCATGATTCTGATCCCTTCATTCTTGCACCAACAAACTCTCAAATAGAGTCTGAACTCTTAAACCCACAGTCCACCGAATTCAGGGTCCAATCTCCTAGGCCAGAAACTGAAGTAAAAAGTCTTTCAGATTGCACTGAAATTGCTGGAAATGCACTGGAAAAGACACCCATAGTCTACTCTAGGAAGAAATGGCGAGAAAGGGAGACTGTTATACCTGAAGCACAACCAGAATTCGAACCACAAGAGGCTCCTGAAGCTGGGAAAGCGGAGACAGACTTACCGATAGCCCTCAGAAAACAACCCAGAACTTGTACACAGCACCCCATCCAAAGGTTTGTGAGCTATCAGACTCTATCCTCACAATTCCGCACTTTTGTAACTAACCTTGATAAAGTGAAGATTCCCAATGATGTATATGAGGCCCTTAGCATACCAGATTGGAAGAATGCTGTGATAGAGGAGATGAATGCTTTAACAAAAAATGGCACATGGGAATTGTAGAGCTACCAAAGGGAAGAGGGTTGTGGGCTGCAAGTGGGTGTTCACCCCAAAATATGATGCTGCTGGTAAGTTGGACAGATTAAAGGCACGGTTAGTGGCAAAAGGGTTCACCCAAACATATGGCTTGGACTACAAAGAAACTTTTGCCCCTGTAGCCAAGCTTAATACTATCAGAATCCTAATCTCTGTGGCTGTAAATCTGGATTGGCCTCTCCAGCAGCTAGATATTAAAAACGCCTTCCTAAATGGTGACCTTAAGGAAGAAGTCTTCATGACACTACCTCCAGGTTTTGAGGCGGGAAAGAACAATCAAGTGTGTAAGCTTAAGAAATCCTTGTATGGCCTAAAACAATCACCGCGGGCTTGGTTTGACAGATTCTCGGAAGTCTTGAAGAATGAAGGATATAAGCAGGGATTGTCTGATCACACAATGTTTGTAAAAATGGAAGGTGGTAAGAGATGTATTCTCATTGTATATGTTGATGATATAATTGTCACAGGTGACTATGAGGAAGAGGTAGATAGAGTAAAGAAGGCTCTTGGAAAGGAATTTGAAGTGAAGGATCTTGGTAACTTGAAATACTTTCTGGGCATGGAGGTTGCAAGATCACAAAAAGGGATTTATATGTCTCAAAGAAAATATGTTCTCGACTTGCTTACTGAAACAGGAATGTTGGGATGTAAACCTGTAGAGACCCCTATTGTTGTGAAGAAGAAGGGGAAGAAATTAATAAAAGATATGGAAAATCAAGAAGATGAAGTTGAACCTGAGGAAAATGATTGTGAAGAAGAAGGAGAGAAGAATGAGCCTGTGGAAAAAGAAAGATACCAGAAGCTAGTTGGGAAACTGATTTATCTCTCTCATACTCGACCAGACATAACTTTTGCAGTAAGTGTGGCAAGCCAGTATATGTGTGACCCTAGAGAAAGGCATATGGAAGCTGTATACAGAATCCTAAGGTACTTGAAGGGGACACCAGGTAAAGGATTATTGTTCAAGAAGCAAAGTCTACGATCAATAGAAATCTACACAGATGCAGATTGGGGAGGAACATACAAGGATAAGAGATCAACGTCAGGCTACTGCTCATGTGTATGGGGAAACCTAGTTTCATGGAAGAGTCAAAAGCAAAGAGTGGTCTCAAGGAGTAGTGCAGAATCAGAACTAAGGGCGTTGGCCCAAGGTATATCAGAGGTACTATGGGTAAGGCGAGTACTAGATGAGATATACGTCAAGACTGATCTTCCACTGAAGTTGTACTGTGACAACAAGGCTGCCATAAGTATGGCGCTAAATCCAGTTCAACACGAAAGATCCAAACATGTGGAGATTGATAGACATTTTATAAGGGAAAAGGTTGAAGAAGGAATTGTGTGCCTTGTCTACATACCAACAAAGCTTCAAGCTGCTGATGTACTCACCAAAGGATTACACAAGCCAGCATTTGATAGTTGTATAAGCAAATTGGACATGATTAGCATCTATGATCCAACTTGAGGGGGAGTGTGGTTGACCTATATTTAATGTAAATATTATTTATTAATAAAGGGGATACTGTGAGGAGTAAAAATAGGGATTTTGTAGATATCCTATTCCCGAATATCCTCTCCTGATTCCATCTCCTGATTTCTTGGAGATTTGATCATCTTCTCACATGTATAAATCAGTGTACATACTCTGGGATTCAATAATAAGAGTTTTTCGGTCTATTTGCTACATATCTCAATGGGTTGATCTCATGGGTTTTTTTAAGGGTGGTTCTCTAATGTATTTACGGCTTGATTGGAGAATATTTTTACGGTATTTTTTTGGTGTTAGTTATGGGAGAATTTCTTAATCCTTTTATCCTTGATTTTTGTAATTCTTTTATTACTCTGAATAAACTCCTTTAATATAAACAGAAAGTAAAGCTTGCATAATTTGGAAATAATTGGGTAAAGTTAAATGAAGAGATTTGACTGCTCTGCTATGCTAATTATTGTCATCCTTTTTGTTTCATCGATCTTTGTTTGTCTTTTTTTTTTTTTTTTATTTTCTGATTTGAGGATCTCTTATCCTTACAATTTTGTACTTTCTTCTCTCTCTGCCTTTGTAGGTTCTCTTATTTCAGTATAGCAAGATATTCCATTTTGAAAATTCTTTTCTAATCTTTCTTGGGTCTATCATATTTTTAATGATAAACTGCTTAGGGGAGTTTATTGTGACATCACTTTGACTTTTTGTAGTTTTCCTATAATTATTGATCAAGGTTTTAATTTTGAGCTTTTTTTTTTAGACTTTTTTTTCTGGGTTACTTTTGATTTGTATATTTCGTTTAAGTATATTTTTGTGGATTTTCTTTAATATTTATTTATGGTTGCTTGCTTTGCTTCTAGTTTATTTTGTTATTTCTCAATGCCTATGGCTGGTTGTATTAATGTCCAGGAGTTGATCTTATCCGACAAGGATGGAGCAGAAGGGGTCCCAATGTGTTGCCAGAAGGTTATGGATCTGCAGCAGTTTTGCCAGAGCAAGGCATATATCTAGCAGCTTCTATATACCGACCTGTGCTTCAGGTATTATATATTGGACTGTTACATTCTCTCCTGTTAATACGTATCAAGGATTTAGAAGTTTGCTTAGCAGTTGATCAGTTTACCATTACCAGGAGGACTGATTATTTGTATATGGTTTGTCATATTCCCGCCCTTTTTTGCTATATTATCTAAGAGTATGAATTTGGAAAATGGGTGCGAAGGTGAATAATCCTTCCTTGTCACCAAGTCCCTGTTTAAGTTAAACCATAAAGATCAACGTTTCTTATAAAGTATATATTGAGTTCTTTATACTTTTTGATTTTCTTATTGACCTGACTCATTATGTAGTTTGCAGATAAAATTGCTTCAATGCTGCCGACAAAGTATTCCCAGCTTGGGTGAGTTACAAACCATTGTGATGCTTTTTGTTCTCAAAGCTGACTTTATCATTTTATTCTGTACAAGTGATATAACAAAAGTTGCCTTGTGTGCATACTGATCATTGAGGAGGTTGAGGCCTTCAACTGTCCACCAGTTGCATGGATACGCAAACATGCATACATCCAGATCATTGTTGCTTCTTTAATAATCAATTCACTGAAACTGTAGAAAGGCCAAATAATTTTTTCGCTGCATGTTTTTACTGAACTTTACATTCTTTTTATGAGTTGTTTTACTTATTATGCTTTGGTATGTATCTTTTGTTCTTTCTGTTTTACTCTAAATCAAATTATGGAACAACTTGTTGCGCTAAAGCATTATTGCTTTCCAATTTAATGGAAACATCTTGTTTTCAACTTCCTGAGCAGAAGAAGGAATGATGGACTGTTAGCTTTTGTGGAGAACTTTGTGAAGGACCACTTTTTACCTACTATGTTCGTGGACTACAGAAAATGCGTACAGCAAGCCATATCAAGCAAGTCTACAAACCATTGAGATCCTTTCTATTGATATTATTTGAGCTTGACAACTAATATTTTCATTTTTCCATCTCATGTCTTGAAATATCTTGGTCATA